GATAGATAGATAGATAGATAGATAGATAGATAGATAGATAGATAGATAGATAGATAGATAGATAGATAGATAGATAACATGTGAAGTCAGCAGAAGCAACACAACATTACCTGCAGCATTAGCTTGGTACTAGTTCCACCTGCTGACTGTGTTGTTACAACGCTGTAGTTTACAGTTTTTCTCAGTCACTTTGGTGCATTTCTCAAAACAATTAGTACAAACTGTAAAACCCAGTTGATAACGTGTAAAAGTTTGTCATTTGCTCAAAATGGATAGTTCATTCCTCAAAAGCAAGACTTCATGTCAATGACAGTGTCTGTGTCATCAAGATGAAACGTCCTGACACCAGTGTTCATGAACAAGACAGTCAAATGACTTTGTCATGTTGTCATGAGGACAGTTTACTCTGTAAGTGTTTTCAAATGCAAAAAAGTCAGATCTTTGTATCAATACTTGAAAATGCTCAAGACACCACTGTACACTATTTGCACAGCCATTTGAAAACTACAGCAAAGTTACACATTACTGTATTCAGTGAGGTAACTGAGTACAAGGCACTGAACACGTATGTTTCACATTTTTACTGCGTATGATCTTTGCAAGTCTAATTTGTTCACAGCATTACACAAAAGAAAAATACACACTTCTTTACAACAAACATAAGAAACACCCTTTGGTTAGAGCTGTGCACAACACTACCATACATATTGAAACTTGAACATACACAGTACTGTAAATCATTCATGCACATCCAGACGTTCCTGTCTGTCTGGCCACATATTTTCATCTACATCACAGTGAATATCATCTCTTGCAATGCAGCGAAGAAAATATCTCCTCGAGTGGCGGATCCGCCCCCTACAGGACTCTGCTGCGATGTCATCACATGCTGCATCCACGGCCTCAAGCAGGACCATTTGGGTATATGGATGCCGGTTACATACCTTCCACCTCCATGCAGAGAAAAACTCCTCTATTGGATTTAGGAATGGGGAGTAGGGAGAGAGATATTCCATCAGCATCCTTTCATGTGCTGCAAACCACCGTCTGACCAGATCTGAGTGTTGAAAATGCACATTATCGAAGACAACAACATACTTGCTCAGATGGTCGGAGATTATCTGAACAAGTCAGCAGATGTTGTGTGGACCAAGATGAGGGATATGGGATTAGGACGGTGAAAACTGAGGTTCACCTGAGAAAAACTGTTCAACTTAGGAGATATTTTCAGGAAAAAAAATATTAAGAAATGTATTAAATTTGATTGACAGATCCTGACAACTAGCTCAACATTTTTGTATGTAAGGACTCAAGCAATAGTTGGTTTTATAGGGAATGATTATTCAGCACTCATAAGTGTAGTTTATTTTGACTGACAGGACACAAGCAAATGACAACGTTATAAAACAGCAGAGAATTGTATGAAAGCAGTCGATGCATGCCTCAAAAGCATTTGTAATGCTGGAATGAATGTGAAGCTGCTACGATGATGAGCACAAATGACTCAATGTGGTGGAGGCTGAACTAGCATTTATGAGACTTTTAATTCTGATCAGAGAAATGCACCAAAGTGACTGAGAAAAACTGTAACATTTCCATGATGAAAATGTTCAGGAGCTCTGATGCTGAACTTGTCAGTAGATTGATGAAGCTTTATATGAAGATAAATATGACCTAAGATACAACTTCTCATCCAACTGTAATATGTGATAAACACCATCAGCTACAGCAGTAAAAACCACTGACAGGCTGTTGAAATGCCAACTGTGAGATTAATATGTTCAGATATTTCCATCATTAACCAGTGAGGTCACTGGGATGGTTTTCAAACGCAAACAGAGATTAAATAAAAAAACACAAACGCCAGCTTGGTCTCAGGTTGTGGAGGCAGATCTGATTAAGCAGCAGCAGGCAGCACAAGGAGGAAACCGGACACAAGAAGCTTTGTTTATCCAAAGTGTTACAGCTGCTCAAGGTGGAGTGCACTGTTCATCACCTCAGGTCAGATGTTTTGATTCAGGTGAATGATGAAAGAATCACCTGCATGTGTTCATGCAAACCTAAAAAGTTATAATAACTTATATCATATATAATACATTACAATAGTCAGAAACAAGATATCTGACACCACAGCTCTGCAGCTTCTCCCCTCCTCTCCACTCCTGACTCCACCCTGAGGAGGTTTAAATAGTCAGGAGACACCTGAGACGCCTCACTGTGGTCAGACATCCGGCTTCACTTCTCCTCGCTCCTTTGTTTTCTGCAAGTGATTTTATTCACATCATCTTCTTCATCTTTTCCAATCACTCCATCCAGTCATACATCCATCTTTTTGTGTCACCCTCCATCTCTGAACCATGAGTCTGAGTCGTACCAAGCGAATCAGCTCCAGTAACTCCGTCCGGAGCAGCAGCGGCTCCAGGAGGCTGAGCGGTTTTGGTCCGGGTCAGGGGGGCTTCAGCGGGATCTCCCTGAGCAGCAGCTCTCTGTATGCAGGCACCAACGGGCACCACCACGGCCTGGGGGCCTCGCTGCAGTCCCTGTCGGTCAACAAGAGCCTCCTGGCCCCCCTCAACCTGGAGATCGACCCCAGCCTGTCCATGAGCCGAGCCCACGAGAAGGAGCAGATGAAGACCCTCAACAACCGCTTTGCAAGCTTCATAGATAAGGTAAAGGGAGTGAAACGGGAAAATGTTTTACTAAATGGTTTCATTCAGCTCTAGTTGTACCTTTTAAATATTGGATGAAGAAAGGAGTCTTTAAAGTGTTCTGGGAAAACAAGTTTGTCCTTTTAAATTAATTGCTGAAGTTTGTTGTCTGTCTGGGGAGGGACCTCAGGACTGCATTAGAAGAACCTGATGAATAATGCAGACATGTAACTGGTATTCTATTCTTTTTAAGGTATTCTTTTCTCAGTTCATCTCAAATTCTTGATACAAATTAATTAAAGTGAGCATTTGCTGCTGATTCCTGAGTGTTAGTGTGTTGTTTGGCAGAACAAGTTAGCAGAAGCTGCCATTTTAAGCAACTGACAAAACAACAACAAAAAAAACAGACCAAAAAATAACAGTTTTCTCACATTTTTTAGACCAAACTTAGACATTGATCGGTTTCTGCTCCATCTTCTAAGTTGAATTTGCTGCTGTTGATTTATTTAACCCGTAGTATTTTTTTAATTCATTGGCAAAAACCACACCGAATTAATTCAATGTAAAAACAAAAGGTTGTTTTTTTTTCTGTTTTCATACTAAATGGTTTCCGCAACTGTAGCTTTATGTCAGATGAAAATATGACTTTTTTTTGAACTGATGAAATATTCTGGAAAAACTAGTTTGTCTGTTCAAATGATGATCTCAAGTTTATTGAGTCTCTGGCTAGATATCTCAGGACTGCATCATAAGCACCTAGTAGGTAGCTGGTCTATCTTAAGTTCTTTTCAAATTCAGCTAATCTACATTTAAAGCCCACAACAGAATTCAAATTAAACTGATAACGAATGGTTTCCGGAGCTGCAGTTAAAAGTTTATGTCAGATAAAGAAATAATCCTTCTGTTCTCCAAAAGTAAGTTTCTCTTTTCAAATGAATTTCTGGTTTATTTACTCAGTGGGGAGCAGCTCAGGACGCCATCGTAAGTATGCGGTAAGTAACGTTGTCACCAGAGCTCAGAAGATGGCCTCAAATGAATCCAGTCTGTGGTCAGTTAGCTCAGTTAGCTCTGACATTAAAAGGTTGAAAAACTAACATAAAAAAACAGTTGATAAAATGTGTTCTGCTTGGTTGTACAGGCAAGCAAATTTAAACAGTACTGTGTCTTCCAAAAGTGTTTGTACAGCTAATAAAATCTGTACTAAATGGCGTAACTGTGCTTTTTCTCAATAAGTTATTCATATTTTTTTTCTTCACACAACACTGACATTTAGTTCAAAATGTACAACAACTAACAATGTTGTTTAGAAGTCACCAAGTTGACGTCACTTCAAAAGTCTGTTAACTTATTTAATATGAGAGGTCACTGATAAGCTGCAGTTTTGTCTAAAGCCATTACTAGTCATGGAATGTAATGAGTGCAGTCACTAAAGTACTGCACTTAAATACAGGTGTGAGGTACTTTTACATTACGTGAGTATTTTGCTACCATGACACTTTCTACTTCCACCCTACGACTTCTCAGAGAAACATTTACTTCATTAAATTAACCTGACAGCTTTAGTCACTTTACAAATGAAGTTTTTCTGCACACAAATTATAGAAATAGCTTCGAATATGATGTTTTGTTATTAATTCAAATACCCAGCGGTTTACAAAAAGAACAACTGAAACAATTAGTTAAATAACGAATTAGGCAAATGACAGAAAAATGGAAGCTATTGTGATTTAGAGCACTTGTGACTGTATTTCTCATTGTTTTCAGCCCTTTTAAAACCAAACAATCAGTCGATAAATAACCATTGCAGTTGCACACTAAATAGCTCAACAAACAATAAAAGTAAACTCCTCCTTTTACATGAATGCATGAGTAACAATCATCTAATGATATAATATCTATATAACAGTAAACAATCAAAGGGGACATTTTTCTGTATTGTGTACTTTTACAGTTTTTTCTACTTTGAGTCCTTTTTTTTAATAATATTACTGCAGGACTTATAAATGTAATAGGGTTTAACAGGATGGTGTTAGCTCGTCTACCACTGAACGTTACCATTAAGTCAAAGAGGTGATGGACTTCACCTTAAAAGCCCTCATAGACCCTCAAAGCTCTAATTAGAAGACGTACAAACCCCTTCAAGGGTGTGTCAGCGCAGGAATGGTAGACATT